GAATTTCTCAGATATATATTTTTTTTAAAATCCTAAAAAGATTTTCTGACTGCTTCATTTTTATAACTGAGCAATCAATGTTTTTCCTGGGCAATTAAATCTTTTATCTGAATATTAAGAAATAATCTGAGCATTTATATCATTTCTGAGCATGATTTTTTTCTGAGCGATTATGTAGGGGCCATGAAAAATTATTTGTATAATAAATGGACTCTTTATTTTTCGATTGAAATTTTTGAAATTATTCGTGTTATATTTATTTATTCACACATAGTTTCAATTACTATACTTTTTTTGACATGGCATCCTTGGTAGATCTTTTAATTTAATTTTTCTATTCTAAGTCATTTCTTTAAAAAATAATTTTTTTTATCCCACGCTGGAGCTCTTTAACGGTCGCCTCAAATTTTTATATAAAATATTTTTTGAGGAATGGATTAGTTAAAGAAAGGAATAGAGTAATCCATCGATTATCTTAATCTTTTATGCCAATCAAGATGAATTGACGTATTTGCCTGGAATTTATAATTGACTTTACTCAATACCAATAGTTTAGATCATTCGTATTTATTTCATTTCATAAGGATTATGACTATTCTGATTTTAAAATAATAATTAATTTAGTCTTATATATGGAAGATAAACCTTCCAATGAAGTCAAACGCTACTCTTTATTACAAATTCTTTTCTTGTCATTTAATTATTTTTAATGGAATTTAAAAATAATAAATTTGTAAGGGTTACTTAAAGAAAGATACCGATTATAAAAATGGATTAGTTAGAGAATAATTTCATTAAATTTTGAATAATACAACTGTTTAAAATAAGCAGAAATTAGGAAAGGAGATTTCATTTCCCTTTTCATATCTCATAACTTGAAATAAATAAAAAATGGGAAAATTTATATGCATAATTTTGTATTAATCATGACGAAAATAAAAATATATTTATAGTACGTGGTACAGCATAATATTTACAAGTGCAACTTTTTTAATATATTGAAATGATATATATTCATTATATAATTTGATGGATTCAACGAATATTTATTTGTAGAGGATTATGAAAGAAAGAAAAAGAAAGAAAGAAAGAAAAAGAAAGAAAGAAAAGAAAGAAAGAAAGAAAGAAAGAAAGAAAGAAAGAAAGAAAGAAAGAAAGAAAGAAAGAAAGAAAGAAAGAAAGAAAGATATTTCCGATATTCTTTACTATGTATAAGGTTATATCGAATTACTCGAAATATTTTACTTTGTAAAAATTAAAAACTCTTATTTTTTGAAAAATCCAACGATATCAAATTTTTTGATGATTAGTATAAGTAATTAATAAAAAAATAATTTTAAAGAAAATAGCAAAGGGTATTTTTATATCAAAAAAAAAATATAAAAAAGAAACATTTTTATAATGATATTTTAATCTAATTTATATTTAATTTACGTTGTCATATCTTTTGTCAAATTATCAAAGTTTCATAGTATATATACACGAAAAAAAATGAGATAAAAATTAAAATTTATATCGTCTTTTATTAGATAAATAAAATAATTGATTTAAGAGTTTTCTTTCTATCGCAGATTTTAATGTTGATTATATGTTAAAAATGTAGCAATCTAAGACAATTATTCGATTCAATTTGTATTTTACTGATAGAATAACAAGATTAATTGATTAGAAAATACAAATAATGCAAATATTGGATTCATAATTTTTGTAGGTTGAAGCTATAATACATTTAGATATAACAGTCCAGCAAACAATTCAGGACCATTTCATGTTTATCCCATGAAACGCAGCTTTAGGTGTATATATTTTACATCTAGGATTGTTATATAAAATTATTATTACATTTGATATCATTATTTGCGATAATATTAAATGAGGGTAACACTTATAAAAATACGTTGACTAAACTCGAATAATGTAACAAACAAAATTTTTTTTTGAATTATACAGGAGAAACCGGGTTAGTAGCTTTGGAATTATTTCGAGCAATGGCTTTAAATTAAAGAATTCTTCAAAAATAAAATGATTAAAGGTTTTTTTTTAAACTAACTTAAATAATTTATCTTACTTAAGAGAAGTAAATAAAAACAAAGGGCAAAAAAATAAAATAAAACATTTGTAATAAAACTCTTATCTATCTTAAAGATAAAATTTAAATGATTATTAGGGTCTGGGATTGCTTTTTGAGATATAGATGAGCAATTTACACATCAATTTTAAAATAATTAATGACTTATAAATTTTATTTTATATAATGCATTTCCGGTTGCTTTAAAATAGAGAGATTCCATATCCCAATAATATATATATATATATATATACCAAATAATATTTATAAAAAAATGATTAAAATTTGAGATACTCAAAACTGACTCAATCAAAGGTTCATTCTTTATGGGATTTGACTCATGTTTCCCTGAATCATTTTTTCCCCATTCTTCTTAATTTTATATTATTATATGTAGGTTACGAGCAGGAACATTTTGTACAATGAATATATAATGAATATTATAATTTAAATTTAATTTTGAAATTTATAATTCAAAATTACTTTATTAGTCTAATTTTTCAAGTAAATATTAAATAAAAAATGTCGCCATTGATAGACAAATGGAACAAAATATTGAGATATATAGTAATCAATAAATTTTACTAGAAAATTTTTTCCAAAATATTTAGAACAATAAAAAATAATAATTAATATAGGATTTAAATTTGGATGCATGAAATAGCGGACAATATCGTTCAATAAATCAAGTAGCTCCAACCTAAAAAAAAATATAAAATATTATTCATAAATTTTAATAAAATTATTATTTACTGTTTTAAGTTTAGAATTCCCACATCTAAAATTTTAGAGATTATGAAAAATATCTTGATGATTTTGGTATATTAGAAGAGTCTACATCCAAAAAATCATAATTAATTCAAACTATATTAATTAATCTTACAACATCAGAACTAGTTGTTTTTCAATTATCTGGCAAAGTCATAATTTATGTTATAATTGATAAGTTAGGACAATTTTTTAGTTCGATAATCCCTTATTATCAATCATTATCACTTATCAATTTGATTACATTATCACTTGGTACCAAGATATACCGCTGAGAAGTGATGACAATTTTATATAATTTCAAGAAATAAAAGAATCTTTAATATTGTATCTATCAGTAGTAGATTGTCTAACAAAGGTTAAATAAAATGTATATGTTCTGATCTTTTATTAAATTAATTTACTTGCAACTAATTACACTAATGGTAGCGTTGACGAAAATACCAAACTAATATACATTGGCTAATAAATCATTTTGACCTCTTTCTAAATCTATGAAAAAACTCAAATTAACCTTTTTGATAATTTTTCTTATATAAGTTTAAAAAAGTAAATACCGCATTGCCTTTAAGTGTTACCGATGAACGATTATTTAGTAATAGGGCAAAGCTTACTTTCTGATCCCCGCTTTTTGAAGGTGATAGATAATATGGAGATGATTTTATTCTTAAAATGCAATAAAATAAATAATGCATATATGCCATTTTTATATATTTTTACATGTTTGAATTTGAAATGTTCACGTTATGGGCATAGATTAGATAGATAAAAAATATATTAAGATTTGTTTCATAAAATACCGAGCTTTTTTGAAAAATAGTTGTAGCGATAGCATGCTACATTATCTTAATAGGCGTTAGCTAGCTTTTTTTAAATGATACCTTTTTTATATTTAAGTATAAATGATCAAATTAGGCAAGGGCGTCACTAGCCTTTACAATTTTAGGTAGCTCAAAAAAAAATTTTTTTAAATTATATCTTCTAGGGCTAACATTATCCAAAATTACCATTTTTTACATTATCAAAATTACACATGATATAAAAAAAAATTCAAAATTTTGAGGGGACTCTTCAAATTTTTTAAAGGAATCAAGCCCCCCTTCCCAGTGACAGTTACAATTTGGTGCATCAATTTAACCTTCAGTCATTCCTACATGCTAATATTTTTTTTAAATGATTGACAAAAATTGCTAAAATTGGAAATCTCACTTAATATCTCTTAAAATTTTAAAGTAAATTTGAAATTAATATTAATAGAGACAATATTTAAATTGAAATTTTTTAAAAAAATCTATAAAAATGGAGGAAATATTATCTATATTCCCACCATTTTGTTTTAGCGATTTAAAACTTATTCCAAAACACAATTCCTAAAAATTACTTTTTCTGTACTGGCAATAATACACCTCCCCCACTCCTAATTCCAAATCGGAAATATGGAATTTGGGCAAAAAATTAGCTATTTATTTTTAAAAAATATTTAAAATATAATCTCCATAAATTTTATTGATATAAAATTCATCAAATGCTATCATTATAAATCGACACGTTGTATATTGTATTGTGTATTAAAATTAATAAAACGTGTTATGCAAATTTCCACTATAGACATATTATATTATATATATAAATATAATTAAAATTGATCAGTTTTAGACCTAGCCCCTGTAATAAATTCTCATTAAAATTAAAGCCCCAAATTTAATTATTATACAAACATAAACAATAAAGAATAAATATTATAATAATCTTATTTTGAATATTATTTTTAAATAAAACCATCAAAACATCTTTTAAATCATTATAAATACTATAAAAAATTTGATGTCTCTCTATCTCTTTCTCAATAGGAAAAGAAGGAAGATAAAATCTATAAAAAAATATATAATTTGATCCTGTATTTTTAAAACGATTTCTCTTTCTGAATATTAAAATTTTATAACAAAAAATAAAAAGACTTTCGCCCTTGCTAGCCTAAACATATATAAAGTAAAAAAACAATTTTTTTTGACGATAAAATTATTTTTAGTCTTTTAATTAATTGGCATGTTGGCTTTATAAAATAAGACCTTTTCAAATATTTTAAATTTTGTTTGACATATCTGTTATTGGCATTGTAATAAGTGTAACAAATAGTAAGGTTATTTTTTGTTTCTTTGTTTTTTTTTCAATCTAAATTATTAATATTATATAAAATTCATATTTTATTTAATTAATTATCCCTAAATTTATAGCATCTATAACAAACGAAAGCTTTCTTATAATAATAAAGGATCGATTTGATGTGCGCTCTGTTATCCCAATATGGCTCAAATCCCAAAATATTAATACATACGATGAACATCGAAAATTATTATAATCGTGACTGTGACAGTTCTATTCCTTACCAGTGCAATAATAATATTATAAACGCAAAGGAATATTTTGACGTGAGTAAGTTTAAATCGAAATCATCGAATAATAACATCGTCCTCTCTTCTCCCATAACTCTTAATAATAATATTAGTAAACCTAAACAATCGCAATACACTCACGTATTCAACTTCGCTGACAGTCAGAGACATATTATCATGCCTTCCGAGATGCCCGAGAAAAACGAATTTAAAAAATTACAATCTACGACACAAAACGATCAGGGTAATCATAATAACATTCATGAACACGATATAAAAAAATCTTCGGACACCACCGCATTCGAAGACGAAACGAGTGAGAGCGAGATGGACCTTACAGAACCCGAAAGGGGAAAATGCAATGGTAGTAATAACAGGAAAAGGACAGCCTTCAACAGTCACCAACTAAATATACTGGAGAAAGAATTTCGAACCAAAAAATATTTGTCTCTCAACGAAAGATCTGAAATGGCCTCCTCCTTGAAACTCACCGAATCTCAAGTAAAAATTTGGTTCCAAAACAGGAGGGCTAAATGGAAGCGACTTAAGGCTAGTGGGCGTAATTCGATACTTTCTATGCCCCAATCCCGTGGAATTGATGATCAAGGTTTCAATAATGATACCAGTAATAACCCTGAATATTTTAATGGTACCAATGAGAGTCAAAATGATGTTATATCGCAAAACTTCTGGAGACAGAGATCTAAATGGACGAACGAAGAGGTGAATGGTAATAATTTAGGGAATATTAACAGTAAACCCAGGACAAACATTAATAAAATAGTCGTGCCCATTCCAATACACGTTAGTAGATTGGCTTACAGGAATCAGCATCAAAGTCGTCACAATCACAATTAAATTTATTTAAAATGCCTTTTTTTGGGAGGAAGGAAATAATCTGTACATGTATATAATATAGTCCCTTCTCTTTAAGTTATTCGTTTTGTAATTGTATATATCACGAAATCTCTGTAAAGTGCATTTAATTTATTTCTAAAATCTTGAACAGGGTAAAATATGAAACATGGTCAAAACTCATAAATTAAATTATTTATTTTATCAATATTTATAACTTAACAGGGTAATGATAATACTTTTTTTATTAAAAAAAATGTCAAATTTATTTTTACTTTTTATATTATATAATTACAAATTATATCTAAAATTTTTATATTGTTATTAGTGTTTTAATTGAATATGATTAGATTGATATTTTGCCGTGTAAAATTATTTAGAATTTATTGTGTTTTAAAATAAATATATTTTCAAGCTTATAATACATTCACCAACAATATATATATATTAGGAATCGTCTTATCCTACAATTATTATTATAATTTGTTTGTTTTTTTTTAAATTTAAATTTACCAATTATATCTATCTAATAATCTCTCTTAACCACATTTTGGGATGCTGTAATTATATTTTTATTATAAATATTCTATAACACGAAAAATTTTTTAGCGTGTAATAATTTAAAATAGATTAAAATTAGTATAATAACTTTCGCTTCACAGTGTGTTGTATTATTAATAAAAAATGACATTTCACAGATTATATTTATTTATAATAATCGCTTGTAGAAGGATAGGAAATATTTTCTTAACATGTATATGGTATATTATCAAAGTTAAGACATTTATAGGTGAATACCTAGATATGTAAATGTCTATTTTGTAGATATACAATATTAGGAGTATCTGTATCAATTATTACATATATTTTGATAGAATTTTATTTTATATATTTTTAAAAATTATAGTAATATATTTAAAATATTTAATACTACCCTACTTTTATATTATTATTTTTAATATAAAAATTTACTAAATTGGTATTTTATTTTAATTAATTTATATATTTTTTTATACTTCAGTAAATTATTTAACTTTTCAAATTTAACTAGTAATTCATTTTAAAGTTGTTACAAACATTATTTAAAAGTTATTACTACAAATATAAATACTATGAGTGTTATTAAAACATATAACGTAATCATATTTTGAAGTAATTATAAATTTTAAAATATTTTATATTATTTTTACTTATGTCCAAACTTATATTTTTTATTTATTTTGGAAAAAATGATTTAAATAAAATCCTCTTTTAAATTGCCATTTGTCAAAATTCACTTACTACAAATCTGATAGCATGCCGTTCCATATCTTAATTATAACATATCATTAGATATATATATGTGATTAATGCTTTAATATTTGTATTATTTATTTTAAATAATTTTTACTTATAACAATTTTAAAATAAATTATAAGCAAATTCAAAAAATTCTTCTCAAGAGAGATTTGAACATTATTTCCTATTACAATAATATGCATTCTAAAATGCAAATGGAATTATTTTTCTGCCGCAATATTGCCTTACACGCTTATGTATATTATAGTTTATGGTTTCAAAATTCAATTCTAAAATTTGGAGAGAATTAAACTCATCAATTTCAAAAATATAACTACCTATATTTAAATTGTTTAGCGCTGGGGACTTAGATACAACAAAGCTCCTGATTTATTGAGTCATTAACTAGTTATAAATTATTTATACTTTATTATAAATATTAATAGAATTTATAACTAAATTCAGAATAAATTTAAAATATTTCTAGAAAAATTTTTAACATAAATTGAACTTATTCAATTGGTCATTTGCTCAGCTACCTTCTAAATTTGGCGATTAAGATTATATTCCACTCAATCTTTTATCCTTATCATCATTCGTATCATCCAGATTATCAAACAATTCTATGATTTATGGCTTCATATGCCCCACCGATCGTTTATTAGATGACGCTATTGACAAATGGAAGGCAAATATACCCATTAACACTGACTTACCATCAATCATCACACACAAAAAATTTTCACACCTTTAATCTCGAAATACCAAATAGATATATCAGTCAATTCACCTTTAGATTGCATTCAACTCAATCAATTATCTGACAGACTTGGTGGTCATGAATGGTTAGAATCACTCTCTAGTCGTAACCTTAGTAATCTCTTATCAGATGAACAATTGAGAGTAACCATTGGTTTACGTCTAGGTTATATCGTACAGCCTCATGCTTGCATCAAATGCAAATCACCCGTCGATTCAAAGGGTAGGCATGACCTAATTGTATATTTAGTGGGCGACACCAACTCCACACAGCAGTAAACCATATAATAAATAGAAGCCTAACAGCTGCCAACATTCCGAACAATCTTGAACCATCAAACTTATCTCAAGTAGATGGCTTAAGATCTGATGGTATGACAACCATACCTTGGGCCCTCGTTAAATCACTTATATGGGATTACACATGTGTTTCATCATTCCCTTCAAACATAAATTTCAATTTAATAACACAGGCAGAAATTAAAAAGACAAACAAATACAAAAATTCTGAAAACTTCATACTCACTCCAGTAGTGACCTCTACGAACTGGAATTTTTCGCCTTCAACATTTATGTTTCTAAAAAATCTGGGTAATAAAAAACGAATTTTCACAAATGAACCCAGAGAATTTCTTTTTATTCGACAAAAAATTTAAATAGAAATTTTTAGACACAATTATGGTTTCCTTTTTGAGGACTCAATTATGGATTTTTATTTTTAATTATATAATTATAAATTTATAAATTATATTTTTTTAACTAGGTTTTATGTTAAAAAGAAATTTAATAAAATATTTTAATTGCGAAAATACCTTTGATCCAATAAAGATTGGTATAAAATATAAGGTAACTCAATGAATTTGATATATAGAAGGGCTTATAACTAATAACATATGTTACAGAATCTTTATTATAAGTCTCACAATATCATAACAACTTTTCTCTCTGGTAAAAATAATTTTGTGGATATGTCCTAATTATGAATTATATAAAATCGTATATACGTAGAAAAACATCTCGATTTTATCAAATTGGAAATTATTTCAAATCCTAAAAAGTTTTATTTTGATTGTTTTCAAATTCGTATGAAATAATGGAATATTTGTTTATTTTAATCATTTTATTTAACACTATTTTTTAAAAATTTTATCACAAATTTTATAAGAAAAATTAATATTTTAAACCAGGGATCCAAACCGAAACGAATATCGGTTCGGTTCAGGTTCGGATAAAAATAACGGTTCAAGGTTCAGGTTCGGTTCATAAAAAATCAAAATATCGGTTCTGTTCGAACCTCTAAAAACCGGTTTGAACACTTTTGTATTCAAACCTACATTCGAATTATATATAGGGAAAATATTTTTTTATTTTATCATTAATTTAAAAAAATACATGTATAAAACCTACCTTTTATTTTAATTGCACATTATAAAATAAAATTTAATTTATAAATATAAAAATAAATATCAATGATTAATTTTATCATGAACAATATTTTACTTTTTTTACTTAAATTTTTTTTATTAGGCCACACAATGAATATATTTTCTAAATTCGTCCCACTCAAATTACATCTATAAGGAAATAGCTTATAAATTTAATTGTTGAAAAACATCTTTCCATATCCATAGTCCACACTAACTCTGGTAGCATGCACTGCCAATATGATATCAAATTTGATATGTGATTTATAATAATATTTTGGATTTAATTTTTCTCTAAGCCTTATAATTTATAAGCTTAGAGGAAAATGTTGTTAAATGACAATTTACTAAAGTTTGCAAAAATTATTATCGACACTTATCAATCAAACGTGATTCATAATAATCTTTAAAATAATTAGAATATAATTGAAATTTTTTCAATTATACTAATAATAACTTACATATTATTTTATAAGCATAAAATCATGAGTCTCGAAACCGTTCAGAGGCATTTTATCGGTTCGGTTCAGGTTCGGCTAGAATTTTTTTAGCTGTTTAGGTTCGGTTCAGGTTCGATAAAAAATACCAGTTTTTGCGGTTTTACGGATCGGTTCTGGTTCGGTTTGGATCCCTGTTTTAAACCCTTATATTTTTCAATGATATTTAAAGAGAACTCATAACATGGATCTACAAAGAAAATGGAAAGCATTTTGAATTCCATGCTCATAAATGATGGCAATGAATAATTTGTTCTATGCCTATAATATTTGCAATTATTAAATCTATGAAGGAGGGGTGTAAGTGCAATCCAATTATTAACGTTAAAATTAGAGATCTGCAAAGTTAGGCCTGGCCCGTACCCGGCCTGAAATTTTATTTAAAATAATCGGGTTCGGGCCGGGCCTATTATTTTAAGAAAAAAATCGGGCCTGGTCGGGTCCGACTTTGGAAATTATTTTAAATATATCTAAATTTATCAATTTTATATTTAATTTTTTATAAAATAAAAATATTTTATTTTATTTATTGAAACTAAACGACATATAACATATGTCTTTTATTTTGAGTAATTATAAAAATTAATTTTTATATTTATATAAATTCGGGCCGGGCCGATAAATTTTTTTTAAAAAAATTTACGGGTTCAGGTAGGGCCGGCAAAATTTTTATAAAAAAAATTTCGGGCCGGGCTTGAAAAATTGGGCCCGATGCAGATCACTAGTTAAAATATTCCAGTATTAATATATATTTTTTAAATTTAAGGAAGTTAATTTTTATTTATTCAAATCCTATACACTAAAGTAAAGATATGCAAGTAACAAATTTTTTCATCCCGTCCATGAAAGAAATTGTCATTTTCACAGAAGATTACGCTACTAATTTATTTTATGTTAATATCGTTTTTAAATTTTTATCGTTAAAATCTACTATTTAAATACCTCTTCACTAAAATTATTTATAACCTTTTCACAGCTAAACGAAAATAAAATATTTTTAAAAAATGACATCGATTTGATTGAGATAATGAGAATAGATGAAAGAATTATAATGGAACTTAAGGAAATTATGAATGTAGTTGACGATTTTCATAAATTATATGTCATTGTTGATTCAAAAGCAGAGCTCTGGATTTAATATTTGTCTAATTCGAAGACCTTGACTGGCAGAAGGACAAGGCCATCGTTCCAATTAATATTGTTAAACTGCCGGATTTGGATTAATTTTTGCCAAAATAATATTGTATAAACCTAAAGATCCCTGATTAATTAGGCAG